TCTTTGAGAGTGGTGAATTACCCAGAGTATGGAAGCACGGAAGAGTGGTACCAATTCCTAAAGTTCAGAACCCACAAAAGGCCTCGGAGTTTCGGCCAATAAGCATTAACTCTGTGGTCTGCAAAGGTGCTGAGAAGATTGTGAGAAGAAAACTGCTGTCATTCTGCGTGCAAAAGCATCTCATACCATCTGAACAGTTTGGGTTTATGGGGGAATCTTCCACTACTCTTTAACTGATTACTTGTGATTTTAACTGGAAAAGAGCCTTGGCACGAACTCGATTAACTGATGTTCTTTATTTTGACTTGTCCAAGGCTTTTGACAGAGTAGACATCCACAAATTAGTTGAGAAATTATATTCAGTTGGAATTCGTGGAGGTATGCTAAAATGGCTCACGTCTTATCTGACTGAGAGAACACTCTCGGTACGCGTCAACTCAGCCATCTCTTCTATCTTCTCAGCAACCAGCGGAGTACCCCAGGGTGGTGTCTTATCCCCTATCCTTTTTAATATCTACACAAGTGATTTACCCGGCCTTTTGTCAATTGATTGGAGAATCAAAGTCATGGCATATGCAGAATGATTTAAAAGTTTTTGCTTCATACTCAGATGAGGACAAAGTCGAAGTAACTGATGCCTTGAGTGCTTGCCTTCAGAAAATCTTATCGTGGGCAGACTTGAACTGCACTGATGTCAACTTGCGTAAAAGTGTGTGCTTGACCATCACCAAAAGGCAGGTGCAAGAGAACACACTTAAAGAGCACACGGACTCCAGTATATCTCTGGCTAGGCCCGTGCTTGTAAGAGATCTTGGAATATTGATGGATCATAAGCTCCTGTTAAAGGCAGTGTCCCGGCAGATTTTGCACCTCCATCCTTTTGCATGTTTTAGGCCTTTTCGCCACGTAGAATCCGAATTTGAGCTTTGAACGGGCTGAAAAGGCCGATTTTGGGGCGATTTCTTAATTCCAAAAAAACAGCCCGGACGAGATTTTTAATGGAAAGTTATGGGAGGTCCTCAGACGAAAGCCCTGCTGGCTGTAATTCTTGCTTTGGATAGCATGCATCATGGGGAGAGCGCTCGTGGGGTCCCGCGCCGAACAGAAAAGGAAGGCCGTCCAAGCGCGCGCCAGTTGGGCTTGCGCGCGCAGGTTCAAGGGCCATTTTCTCGGCCCAGGGGGAACATCACCCAGCCGGACTGCGCCTAAAGGTCGGTGGGATGACCAGGAACCCCACCACATGTATATCCCCCAGGACCCGAATCTGCCGGGACACTGCCTTTAAGATCTCATATTGAGAATATTTCGCGTGCAGCCTTACACAGAGTATTCCTTTTATTACGGAACTTGAAGCATGTAGACTTGAGAGTATACATCAAGCTGCATATGGCCTATGTTCTCCCTTCATTAGAGTATGCTTGCCAAGTCTGGAATCCTCACTTAAAAAAGACATTCTAACCGTGGAGAAAGTCCAAATGGTTTTCACCCGTGTACTGTATTACAGATTTTTTCCAAGCGGGGATTACCCGTATACCCTTCCCTCCTATAGATGTAGGCTGGACCACTTGAAGTTGCATAGCTTGCTATATCGAAGGGTTTTGGCTGACTTAGTGTTTGTCTTCCAAATAATTCGCCTTGAAACAAAAATTGTTCCTAGTGAATTCTGGGTTTGGAGACCGTGCAAGGGCCGAACAGGTGGGTTTAGCTTCCACTGCATTGATTCTACTGTTCCAAATACACTCTTCTACAACTCATTTTTCGCACGCACTTCTCGATGGTTACAAAAGCTTCCTGACGCAGTTCTCTCTGCTCCTAATTCAACTACTTTCAGAAAAAAAACTTTTTAATTGTGACTTTTTGAGATTGCTGCGAATAGATGAATCCGGGTACTTTTGAGATGAAGTTTCTTCTTATGCCCTTTGCTTTTTTTCTTACATTTTAAATTCTACTCTTGGCTCTGGCTCCTTTTTTTTCAGAGTGTTGACTTGCTCAGATTAACGCTGGCTATTCTCTTCACTATATTTTCCACTGCTCCATGGACTTCACTTGAGAAGTTGATCGCTTTTTTAACTCAGTTATGTTGGCTCGTCTGTTTTGATTTGAGAGGCCTTGCATGGCTGCTTGTACAATTCAGTCGATACAACTTTGCTGAACTTCGGTCCACGTTTCCTTTGCCTAAATCGACTATTACCTTGTTGTTTTTGTTTTCAGTTTCTCGTTGTATGGGTTATAGTATAGCATAGATTCGTACGACCATCTGTTACATCAGTTATTTTTTCTTTTTCATTGCTGTTTTGCTGGCATGCTCTTGACCTCAGAGGCTCTCTTACTAGATACGCAGTTTAGTGTTTGTCTTCTAAATTTGACTTCGTCTTTGTCGTGTAGCTTTATATGTCTGTCTCTTATCCTTGATCATCTTGTATCCAAGTCCGATGTTAGCCTTGTTGGGGTAAGCCGAACGAGGTTTCCTGCCCGCCGGGTACGCATGATTTCGCTCATTCGCCCAGGTGCTCATCCCTGTTTCTCGAAAGTGACCGTATATTTCTATACCGTCACGCATCGTACTTGGACTTGTACTTATACCAAGTTTACCCCACGACACTGACTTTGAAGACAACACTGACGTCCACTTGGTTTAGAGAATTACTCTCCTCAATTTCTCTAGGGTGTTGAGCATGTCACAATTTCGTTTCATTACTGTCTTTGTCTGTCGTTGCATTCGTGTCTTTGTAATGGCGCACTGTGCACAACAGTGTAATAAATAACTGTCTTTCCAATGCTCGTAAAAAATGTGAATACGCCATCAAGAAAGCCCGAAAAACTGATGAAAAGTCATGTAATGAAGTCAGCACGCCTGAAAATCTTGCTACACAAATTTTCAGATTTTTTTTTGAAATTATTTCATCAAGAGGCCTATTCCGCAGTAACGCTGTATGCTGGAAGTTCATACCGTAATCCTACAGCAATGAAGAGTGATTAGTGATTCACTTCATACTGTTAATCTAAGATTATCCTCGCTCTACAGAATGGTACCTCAAGCTCGGCAAAAGATATGAAAGCAAGAGAGTTATTAACGATCAAACAGTGTGCACATCTTTTTGGGACACTCTGTATGTTCATATATTGTCAAAAACCATGAAGAGTTTTTTGAATGATATGTCACTTGCTTCATAACTACAATGTGTAGACGCGCAAGATTAGAGATATCCTATGAACTCTATTCGGGTTCTTCACTGCCCACGCGTAGGGTTATGGAGAGGAGCGTTAACGCGTTACGAATACTAGGCGATGCTCGCTTGTGTAAGCGACGTTTAGGTTGCAGTCTGCTTATTGTTGATCGAAACAAAAAATCACAAAAGCAATAAAAATTAAGCTGTTTTATTTTTTCCCGTTCATCCTAATATTAGGTTGTTAGGAAAGTTCTGTCCGATTGCAGAATTTCTGATTAAAAATGTTGTAACTCTCGAAGAAATTCAGCATTTTGCCCAAATTAGATTTTGTTGGATTAAGCGAGGTTACGTCTATCACAAGCACAGTATGCCATGTAAAGAACGTAAGCGAAAGAGAAGAGAAAATTTGAGATTTTTGCAAAGTTTCCTTCAAAATCACCCACTTTGACGTACTAATGCTTCCATATCAGGATACGCGAAAATATTTGGCTACCACCATTGAGTAGCCTATACTTCAGAGATTCTTTTGTGGCTAAAGAGAATTCGAGCTATCTTTGCTGCACAGAAATTTTTACGAGCAATTAAAAAAATCCATTATTTGAGCCCTCCTCCGCGCTCGCAAATAGGTCGACTCTCGATTTTTTTTCCTGCTGTCGCGAATGGAAAAAACTAACTGGCCGATGGTTTCCGCTTGCTCTCGCTTTACTCTATCATATGCATTAGTGCACCATGTTCATTATATGTAATTGTTGTTACTTTTTGAATTACCGAGTTTCTTCCACCTTTTGAGAAAAATTTTGGAAAAAGCAGGACGTTCGCTTTGTTGGAGATGAAGTGTGCGTATGTTAGCCCATTGTCCTGACCCATTATAAGATATTACATATTTGCTTTTACGAATACTGCGTGAAATCTGTTCACAGAAACTTTTTTTTGAGCATGACTGCATCTTGGTAGTTTAACTTTGGGGCCTCGAATTTCATCACTGAAAAGATGTTTTGTCAAGCATTAGTGAGCACCGGAAAGAGCAAGAAAAGTGCTTCCAGATAATATTCATGTATCTGCAACTGTACAAAACTCCGAGAAAATATGTGCGTTAAAATAAGATAACTAGAAATCGGACAGAACTTTCGGAACAACCTAGTATATCGCTTCCTATATTGCCACTTCGACCATCCTTTCATTGTTAGTATAACATCAATTTATAGATCATGAATCATGAACTGAATGTCATCTCAAGCTCTGATGTTGGCGTCTGCAAAAATGTTTCACTTATACAAGGCTGTCCCATAAGTCATTCTATATTTGAACCCTCAAACTGATACTTCTCAAGAACTAGGGCACTACAGTGGTGCAAGTTTGTGGCGGTTTTTTTGAGTGAGTCAGCTCTATAAGGAACTGCAAGAAACACAGCACCGCTATAGGCAAAGTTTGAAAATTCAGCGCATTACGTTTTTCTTGACTCCTAAGAATGCTGCAGGTTATGTATAAATATCTGATGGTGAGAATATTGCATGAGCAAGTGGAAAACTAGCAGTATTTTCGAACTGAGACAGATTACCGTTCTTCGAGAATTTAGAATTTTTTTTTGTTTTGACTGCAAACCTGATGCAGCTTGATGCGAACCTTGGAATCCGTCTTGTAGAGCTTGCATTGATCTGTCGAATGCTACCCCGCATCCTATCAGCTATATAAGAAGAACTGATTTATGTCGGTAAAAAGTCGGATTTGAAAAGTCTTATGGGGTTAGGGCTATACGACTGTATTAGGTCAACCTTACATATACGGATTCGATGGCCTCTGTCGATGTAGCCGAAACGATGGTTCGTCGGACGAAAAGTTGTTAACAACGTTACTGCTTGAGAATACGGCACAGCATTAGTAAAATTCTTAAAGTTTACCCATGCTTTATAAACAAACCAGTGGATCACTTTTACGTTTTTCATATCACTTATTATGCATCTAACATCAATTCCTAAGTGAGCAAATGGAAGGTTAGGTTTTTCCTTGACCGGCATGCATCCTATGCTGGATGTTGTTATCTCCTCTTGAAAGTTGCCGAAATTTGTCCTATTGCTTTTTCTTCTCCACTTCCTCTTCTTCATCATCTCCAAGCATTGCCTCAGCTGTGAACCTTTAAATAGTAGCTATTGGGGGAACTCAAGATAGACCCGAAGAGCCGTTAGTGATTTGCTCACCATCCAATAAGTGGGCTTAACCAATAAACCAGCAAATGCCCAACATGTGTTAATCCTTCACAGTTGAAGGTACAAGCCCATGCGACCAAAGGATTTGCGTACATTCCTGTGTAGTTGATACCTGCAATCATTTCCTTGCAACTTTGTACTCGAATATGAATTTCCGTAGGTAATTCACTAACCAATGGCACAAAGAAATCCACTAAATACGCAGGAAGCAACACTTGACATCCATGTGTCTTCCAAGTAGGCGCTGGTGTATTTATCAAAAACTTTTCCTGAGAAAACGAAATTTACGTCAAACGTTCAAGAATTTCAGCATTTACAAGCACCTATAAAGGTTGCACCTCCTTCCACCAGACAGCCGGTAGTGACAGCAATCTGAAACAGTAAAATATTCAATTCGAGTCGAAAGCCTCCAAATTTTTTCACTAAATAAAAGGCTGATAAGATAGTAGTAGTCTTTTAATCTGTGCAAGATAGACGGTCTATGAAAGTGCTTCCGATTTCGTATTTACTTATTGAGAGACAAGGGGTGGGGGGGGGAGAAGCGGAGACAAATTTTTTGAATGAACACTAACCCCTCTCCCTTGCTCAGAATTTCTGTGTTTATTTTCGAAAATTCTTGGCTACATAATGAAGCTGCGCTCTAGAAATAGCTCAACTATGCTTTTGGCGAATTTTTCGAAAAATGAAGTGAATTTTTTCAATATTTATTTATATTCTTTCGCTAAATTCTATCAGAAAGATGATTTTCTAGATTTGACATCAAAATTGTTATTTTGATGGCGATCCCTATTTGAGTTCAAAATTGCTGTAACGGCTTTTCTTCTTTTCGTGCTATGCTATGCATTATAGAGATTATACTAATATGAAAGATTCATAAGAAGAGATAAATGTGCATTTCGAAAATCAACTGTCCATCAATAAAATCTATCCTAACCTCGTCTTGTTCCTTTCCTAGAAGGAATTTCGGATTTTCAGACTTTCTCGGGAACCCCTCGATAAGGAAAGAAAGCTCATGAGATTCTGTTATTTCGGATTTTCGAGCAGACTTACAATTAGATAAATTTTTGAACGCTGCTTCTTGTAAAATAGGCTACACCCGCTTTGTGTCACAGTAAAAATGATATAAAACACTGGTCTCAGTTGATACCCGTTTTGAATAGAAAAAAGTGAAACGCTTTCGTGACGAGACAGAAAATCAAACCGTTAAGTCCGCCGAACAATGTTGAGCAGCAAGAAGTTGTGAGTGAACCGGATGTATGCCCAGCTTCCAGAATGACCTAGCTAGAAAGAACGACAAATATGCGGCTAGCATTTGCGTTATAAAAACATAAACAGCACGACGTATCGCTTTTGAACGTCTGTAGCACGACGTTACCTGTAAACACGTCAAGATTTATAACAAAGAAAAAGTACATACGGTAGACTTACGATTGGGCAAGGATTTGCTATAGCATCTCTCTGATAATAGCAATTGGCGAGTTCAATGCAAGTGATTTCTATGAAGACGCCAAAGAGACCATAAGTGTGCAATACGGTATTGACATCGAACATTGGAGTACATACTTGCAATGTGCCCACAAACTGAAATAATCAGTCCTTCTCCATCCTTGGAAGATTGCGCGGAAAATTTCCTCAGATATGTAGTGAAGCGAAATCAATTAGATCATGGATGGTTTCGCGCAGAGCTTTTGCTAATTTTGAGCAAACGTATGAATAAGGTTATGGCTTTGGCCATATTTTACCGTGTTACACGTGTTTCTAGTGTTACTAATGTTAGCATTTTTATTGCTGTTTAGTAGTGAAATGATCACAAATACAATGTCATTCTATAAGGCAACTATCTGGCTTGCCCAGCTCCGCTCGGCCCTGTCAAAACACTTTGATAAAGCTCTCATCCTTGTCCCTGTACAACCTTTCCCTGTGCCCACCTACATGTCAATTTCCTATTCCCGCTGGGTTAGTTATCACCATGCTGACTTATCCCTCTGTGCCAACTCCCAGCTCCGTATCCCAAACTTTGCAAATAAATCGATAAAATCGATAAAAGTAGCGAATAATTCCAAAAACTAACACTGTATTCGTAGTCAGCATGCTCGATTACCCCCTCCCCCCTCCTGTGCCAACTCCCAGCCCCGTAGCTCAAACTTTGCAAAATATTGATAAAAATCGATAAAATCGATACAAATCGATGACATAAAGTACCTATGACACCCGCTCCGCCCCAAAGTGTATGTGTGCCAAGTTTGGTCCGGATCGGTTGAGAAATGAATTTTCTATTCGGGACACACACAAACAGACATTCAGATTTCATTGACTGGTGCGTAACACGAATAACACTGGTAACAACAGTAACATCAGTAACACAAGTGACACCAGTAACTAACACCGATAACATGGGTAACATGGGAGTTTTTCCAAAGCCTATGAACTTGGGATATTGGGCTCACTGGCACCAGAAAATTCTGAGGTCACTATATTAACACGATATTGATCGAAAGCAAAAAACGGTGATAAACTTGATTTACCGAATGAGCCAGAGAAAAAATAATTATCTGAATGGGTTCATTAATATGCTATCTCTTCAATTTCACGGAGTGATTTGGAGGTTCTACCTTCAAGAACTACATATAGCTCGGAACAAATATTTTGCTGCATTACGAAAAAAAGCTATGTAACTTCCTTAAGATTTTTTTATGTTATTTTAGATCACGCCGAATTTCCTAGTTTATTACACGAACAAAAAAAAAATAACGAATTATTTTTGACAGACTTCCAGCTTGCGGTATTAAAGAGCTTAATCCTTAATTTTTGCGAGTGAGCAAAGAAGCCACTTCCCTATTGTTTTTTTTTACTTATTACCACATGAATAACGTTACAGTGAAGTCTGGAGTTTTTTAACCTCGTAAATTAATTCTTTTTGATTTTCTTTAGTTTTTCGGTTTTGCGTTTATTTTGATTTTCAAGTCCTTTTCAATACATGCAGACCCGCGAACAATAAGCAAATACATTGCACAACATTGTAGTCAAACTTTCATAAAATATTAGAGGTACTTTTGGCCATAATCGAGATTAGTAACACGTTGCTTAAGCTGGAGCAAGTTATTGATTGGTTGCAATTTACTTGTATACAAAAATTTTTGTATTGCTGACAGAAAGACAAATGAACATGCAGTTTCAAAGCTAAATTTGGAGCAAAGGCTATATGAAGCGATCAAGCGTTTTTCACCCATTTTTGAAGATTTTTTTTATTTCGAAGTTCGGCTAATTTTCAAAAATTTGATTATAGAGTTTCGGAATTTTAGAGTGTAGGCATGTTACAATAGAGCAAATTTCGGACTATAATCAGTGCCTTCAAATTCTTTTGATGTGCTGTCTTCAATAATTTATTTCTGTGATGATCTCGAACTTTGGTAAACTCGCGATACACCACTGCCACTGCAGCAAACCAAAAGCTTTTAAAGTTTGTGCGAGTCAATTTGATTGTTACTGAATATCATTCGTGCAAGACAATGCTTGATTTGCTTCCAAGAATCGACTTTTTGTAATTTTTGGTACTTCTGTGCGCTAAATGTGCTGAAGAAAGAAGGTCTTCCCTGTACGATAATCACAGAATTCAAAAACTTAACCTACACGATTTGAAATGAGTGAGTAGCTAAAGGTTCAGTTCAAATAACACCTACAAGCCGCTTCATGAAAATATAGGAATAAAGTTGCTGAAAAATTAGGAACACTGGCATGACTTAAACTGCCCAAGGAGCCGTAGCGATGACACTGCAAAAATCGCAAAGAGCAGAGAGATTAAGCAGCTATAAAGAGGATAGATTGAATAGAGCGACAAAAAAGTCGTTCATCGATGAGTCATCGTCGAGTTTGGTGACCAACTTTCGCGACAATCAAAAATTTTACTTATCTGTTTCTAGCTGTAAGACAAAACGCTTTGTACTACTGTACCAATGGTCGGTTGACTGTGAAACAAATGTCAATTTCTGCCGAAGTTCTCGGGATCTGCTTCCCGAAACATATTTATGTTCAGAGACCTAAAACTATTCCCGGTGTGTAAAGCAGTTAGCAAAGCATTTTACGATCTCATTGCTGCGAAGGGAAGGTGAAATTATGTAACAAATGAAGAGATAGGCACCCTTCTGACGTCGGAGAAATAGGAGAAAACAGTAAAAACGATGTATGATAGAGTGAAGTTCTTCAAAAGAGCTGCTTTATTCTACAGGGTGTCCCAAAAAATGTGTCCACTGTTTGATTGTAAATAACTCTCTTGTGTGACTTTAACTCTGAAGTGTTTCAGAAAGCTTTAGGTACCACTTTGTAGAGCGAGGTTCAAATTAGATTTACAGTATAGAACGAATCACCCATCTCTCTTCATTACTGTAGGATTACGGTAGAAACTTGAAACATATGGTGTCAAGGTGGAAAAAGCCGCCGTTTCAAAATTTTTCAAAAAAAATGTAAAAACTTGTGCAATAGGGTTTTTACGGACGCTGAGTTCAATACTCAACTATTCACAAAATTACAAAGCTTTCTAGACGGTGTAACCGCATTTTCTAGGAACATTGAGAAAATGAGCGCTACCTCTTACCTGGCATAACTCTTCAATGAAGCATCATAATAAGTTGGGAACTTTCCGTAATCCTACAGTAATGAAGAGAGATGGGTGATTCGCTCCATACTGCTAATCTAAGTTGAAGCCAGCTCTACAAAATGGCGCTTACCGCTTCTTGAAAGACCTTATAATAAGAGAGCTATCAACAATCAAACAGTGGATACATTTTTTTGGGACACCATAAGGCTGCTTTCGTGTTCGTGATGGGTGGTTTTTAGCCAGGAAAAAAAACAATTAGCTCAAAAAGTTTGCTAGGAAAACAATCTAGCATACTCAGTAAAAAATCATTCATGAGAATAGAAATTATTATTTGTAGAAATATTATTTCTTAGTTTCTTGACTTACCTCCAAAAGCAGATCCGTTGACAATCGTTTAGGCATTATACGCACAATCAAATATCGAAGAAATTCACAAACAGCAAAGACAAATGCATAAAATACTAGTGAAGCTACCCATACCCGCATTCTGAAATAAAATTTATTGGTGGATCTTCATGAAACAGCATCTAAAAATTTGACGTAGATTAGTAAGTCGCTGAAAGTGACATCTTTGGTATTCAGAGACAAAGCATTTCTTGAAAAATAGTTTATTTATATACTTCGTATAAGAAGAAGATTAGATAAAAAAATTCAAAATAAGAAAAACGCACAACAATTTTGCCGCCTACGTTGTCATTTTGTTCACTGTCCAATGAGTGTAATAGCAACGCGCCATGCGTTCGTTGCTGAGCTCAGGCTTTTTCTGAAGATGACGTGAAGCTTTCATGTTTTCTGCTTTGCTAGCTCCAAAAATAATTTTGAATTATGCACGTAGTCGAAGTAAAAACTCGAATATTCTTTCAACAGCTATATAAAGCACATAGCGCATTGTTACTCGTGAAAGTAAAAAACCTTACCATAAACTTCACTGAAACAACTCATTTTAAATTGTTTCCTTTGGGGAGAAGATAAAATTGGGTTTGTTCAGTAGATTTTTCATCGAATTGACGTTAATTTATTGAAAGCTTCTAATAAATTACATACGCCTGTCACATTTATTCCCCTGAAGTTAGGAAAGGTGGTGTCATGTATAGTTCATGATTTTAGCGCATAGTGTAATGCCTTTATTTTCTTCCTATTTTTATTTATTTACGTGGTGCATTTCAAGTACCAACAAAAATGAAACACCTTAAAAATATGTTCCTCTCAAAATTTGTGAAGTGCTCACCAATCTCTACTGCATTTTTTTACCGAAAAGGAAAATTAACCATTTCTTGCAGCTGTACCCAAATAACGAGTGTCACATCTTTCAAGATATGTACTGACTGCATACAAGACGAGAAAAACAATAAGATAAACTGACAATAAGATATCTCATTATATGTTTGTTTGTGCTTTTTTTCTTAATGGTAAAAAACCTTTGAGTTTTTTTTACAAATCTTTTTCGAGAAGGAATTTACCTTTGCCCGGAGTTTATCTTTACTCGATAAGCTTCAAAGGTACAAATATTTTTAAGCAATGTAAAAAGAGAAAGACTAATTTCGACAGGCGTCGATGCTGTTAACGAGCGTTACATTAGTCGAATACAAGAAAAAAGAACTACAGCATACATGACGAATGTTCACGCAAAATTAGATTGATGGAAAGCTCCTGCAATACCTAGTTGTCAAACGCTGAAAAATCTTTCCTTTGTTTTTTCTAGAACACAAGCATTTCATAGTGCTCACCTTTAGGCAAAGAGCACTTGTCATTATTTTTTGCCAGAAAATATTCGTTGAACACCTAACGCACACGTGACCGGACCGCATAGGCATTCAGGTTTTTTGTCCCCATTTTTTCCTGTCTCAAATCTCTGACATCAATTAATTACGTAAATGTGCTCCTTATTCTTACTAGTACGCTGACGCTAGACAATCTAAGAGAGAGCTCAAAAAGATGTGCGCGTACAAAACATCAAGAAAAAAGTTCAAATAACTCTTCTTTGGTGATGAATCGAGTTGAATAATTTATAATTAGACCATTAGACATCGGCCATGTAAAACAAATTTTTTTCGATGCAAGAAGTTTTGAGAAACTTTTATAAGAAAAAAAAACTTGGATTTTCTCTTTTCTACAGGTGTCGCATTCCTGAAAAGTGTTTGGAACTTCAAAATTTCACACATTCAAAAATTCCCGTCCCATTAAATACTGTGTTAGGACAGCAGAATGGATAAGGTAAGTACATGCGTTCTGTGATTGCCAAATGCATTTTCAGCGTCGTCATGGTGAAGTGACAATCCATGCATAGAGGATTCAGGAGTAAAAACGACAAACAGTTAAAATGAAAAGAGCCAATTTAGGAGCAGAATAGTGGGATAGTGCTTCAAAAACACCAAAGGTGTTTTACGTAGGTACAAACATTGCAATTTATCAAACTTGTGCTTAAAGAAGTAAAAGTTATCGCTTCGTCATACCGGAAGGCTAGAGGAATGTAGGAGATATATAAAAAGAAAAACACGTTTGACTCTCGAAGAAAGGCTCTCAAATAACCCACAGTGGGCACGATGCATGAAACATTTTCTTGGGGCTTGACTCTTCGCACCAACTGAGATTTCAACCGCTAATAGTGTAATTTCCAATCTATAAATGCGATCACACTACAATATGTAATCTCAAAAAACCTGTAAAATCTGCGGATTCATTCCTTTGCTCGCATTCAATTTGGTATTTCAATATTCATGGTAGTGCGAGCACGGTAAAACCTAAAAAATGAATACCAGTCCCATTTTTTTTGTGTCTTGATTCGTTCAGGCCATCTCTCATACACGTTAATACCCATATATCATCATTTGAGCGATTCGTTTCATAAATAGCAAACTAGCGTGGAGAAAACGGTTTTCGATAAAATTAAATCAACTGAACTTTCAGCACATTATTTTCCGCTTTTTTCGCAAAAAGCAAAACATAAGCACTATAAAAAGGCTTCAAATTGCTTGTAGATTTGAAGAATGTAACACTAAACAATTATCAATCAGTGTAAAACTCACACAGGTCAGCTGAAACTGTACATTTTTCTCTATACTCAAACAAACGAAAACTAATCTAATTACTGCTGCAAAAAATCCTATACAATCAAATTAAGACTAATTTAATCAATAGCTTTCGAGGAGACCGGTTTGGGAAAGTGCATGAAATGTCACAAAAAATATAGGTGCTCTGAGATACTATTACTTTTACCTCAGAAATAAACTGCACAAGTCGTAGATAACATCCACCTGTTTATGATGAGAATCAATTGCCAAGTAAACAAAAAATTCCATGGTAATCGGAACCTTAAATAAGTAGGGTTCTGATAGCTTTACTAATCGATAATTTAACGTTTTTCAAGTGGATCATATTACCGCAATTTGAAGCAGCACTATGCATTTCCTTTAAGCAACGAAACATTATTATATTGTATCAAATTTGCTAAAAATGAAAAAAATGGAGCTGTGAGCATCAAAACTTTGAAGAGAATATTAAAAGAAGAAAATATTAAAATTCTTGAAATAATGCTGGTCATGCGTGATAGGCGCCAACCCTGTACGAATGGAGCCACTTTATCTGAGAATTTTTTTTTTTCGAAAAATGGATCTGAACATGACAGAAGTTTCAACAAAATAGAGGACGCCTGATGCAAAACTAGAGGTCATAAGACGCACATTAGTATACTATGACGTAATAGAAAACAATATTTCTAATTACTTATATCAAAAAACGAAAACCGAGTTTTATCTAAAATGCTAATTACTTCGGACAAGAATCACTATAAAAAAAGTCCTTTCATCAAATGCAGTTTCATCGCAATCACATGTCTCATTTAGTTTGGAGCGAATGAATAGATTTTTCACTTATATACATGCAGGAAAAGTAACAACAAAAATGAGAATTACACTCAACAACAGAATAGGTCCTGCAACGTTTTTTGAGAATATAGATAACTTGTAGAAAAAAGTACTGCGTGTTTCTTTTATCCTGTAATTATTGCACTTATGATATATAAATACATAAAGTACATCCTAGGTACATAAACTTTCATTCAATTATGGGCCCATGTAAAAGTGGACCAGAGCTGCCAAGACTATGTATTAGGTTGTCAAGAAAATAATGTCGTTTTTTATTTGCTTGCTTTAACAAAGCAACTAGACTCAACCCAACAAAGGATAAGGGATACTGTTCGATAGAGCAAAGCAAGCTCTACAAAAGGGCGTTCATAATATTGCGTCAAGTTCGATCCACGGAAACTTCGAACTCAAAATCCAAAGATTTCCAAATGCCCAAAAAATCGAAAAAAATCAGATCTTCGTCCAAATAATTTCTACGGACCTCCCACTCACACACGTCAATACTTTCGATATCAGACACCCATATGTGCAGTTCCTGTATTTTTTCCCTGATTAGAAACTCAGAAAACGAAAATTTGCATGATATTCTCAAAGCAATGCTGAGCCGTTCTTGCATATGTAGTTCTATACTACAAGCCTAGGTAAGTATAACTGTGAATTTTCAGCCCATTCCGAGCGGTAGTTTCCGAGAAATATTGGATTCAGCTCCCTTCTTTTCAGTTTCAGTGGTAAAATCGACATTTCTGGAAAACTACCGCTCGGAATAGCCTGAAAATCTACATTTACGTTAACCTAGGCTTGTAGTATAGAATTACATATGCAAGAACGGCTCAGCATTGCTTTGAGAATATCATGCAAATTTTCGTTTTCTCAGTTACTAATCAGGGAAAAAATACAGCAACTGCACATATGGGTGTCTGATGTCGAAAGTATTGACGTGTGTGAGTGGGAGGTCCGTAGAAATTATTTGGACGAAGATCTGATTTTTTTCGATTTTTTGGGCATTTGGAAATCTTTGGATTTTGAGTTCGAAGTTTCCGTGGATCGAACTTGGCGCAAGATTATGAACGCCCTTTATCGAACAGTATCCCTTACCCTTTGTTGGGTTGAGTCTGGTTGCTTTGTTAAAGCAAGCAAATAAAAAACGACATTATTTTCTTGACAACCTAATAAAAATATTAAGCGCATTGACATAGATTAGAATTGATGGATAGGATAGATAATGGATATAATATCGTGTTTTAGGAATAGGAAGAATTAAAAGTTTTGGAGAAGATTTCATGCAATTTGCTTATCAATTGCGAACTTGCAGTGCGGTTTTTGCCCGAGCAGAACAGCAGCCGGACTGAACTACACGAGGGAACAACAGGCGTGTAGCGATAGAGCAACCCGTCACATGACTGAGTTTTTGAATCACATTTTTTGAATTTTTTGGAACGTCTATTTTTGAGTAACAAAATCAAGTGCATACAAAACAAGTCCTTCTGCTCACTTTTGATGACTCAAATGCAAGATAAGGTGTTCTTTCATTTCTCGCTTTTATCAAACCTAAATTCATTTAATCACATCAGTTTATAACTTAGCATTAGTTTTTGCCCAGACTTCGCACGAACTATTTGGTGAGCTTTTGGCTGCAGTTTCGAGATAAGATAAGATTTGCGTTACAACATGACGGCAATTGAGCAAACATTATATTGAATGGCAGGTAAAGTAAACACTACGCATATCTCAGTATAACAATGTCAATGCTGCTTACTGCAACTGCAATGACAAAACTAGAAAATTCTGGGTCATTCCGCTTTCAAATATTGACCAGTTTTCACCAATTTAAACTTCGAATTCAAAAATTTGCTAGTAAGCTTGAGCATTCGCTGCAAGTTCCTTCGTATTTTTGCATTGTCTCAAATCATCCGTTCATTAAACTACAGATAAATTGACCCCTCGAAGGAAAACTTTGAAGTCTAATATATTAAGAGGTGTAAGGCGTTCAAGGGGGTGGCGGGGGGGGGGGGGAACGAAAGCCGCCAGTTTGGGCCGCCTCCGCGGACTGCTGGTCCTGGAGCGACATGCAACAACACTGCAAAAGGACCAGTTGGCTGCGAAAGGCGGCTCAAACGCGTGGAGGACTATATGTCGCCGAATTTGGAAGAGTCCCGCGCGGATTCCCTGCAGGAACGCATGTCCGCGCATGTATAAGGGTGCGTATTTGTCGCAACTGACCGCGGAGACCGCCCTTTTTCGGTGACATATAGTCCTCTAACTGGCGGCTTTCGTTCCCCTACCCCGTTCAAGGCAGGCAAAATCAGATAGCAGGAAACCGAGCGGGTCCTGAAGCGAGCGCGCCTGCAACTAGCGCCTTTGAGATTATTGGTACACTAGTATGGAAAATATGGGGACTAAGTAAATTGAAAAGAGATCATAGCAGTAAGGCATACGCTCTATAACAGAAGTGTGCGAAGTAAAGGAGAAGGCTGGTACCATAAAGCACTTTTCCTTTCAAATCACCTACTGTAGAAGCATGTTCATAATTTCCTACAACCAAATGATAAAGAACACCTTCAGAGCAATATGATAAGAACACGATGGCCTTTTCCTTCAGGTTCTTTTTCGCTGCTTTTTACACAAAACATAAAAAGCACCTTAATCATTTACCCTGCTTAAATGAGTTAATTCAATTTTTAATTACCATTTAAGCTAACTAACAAAAATGGCGCTGGGAGCTTACTATGCAACACAGAATTTCCAACTTGGTAGACTTCTCAACTAAAAAACACAATGACATGCACAGACTGTAACTTTTATAGAAACAATCTAGCTAATAGCTGGACAGCTCACAACAATAAAAGCTGAAAAATTAAGTAAAGAGATTGAATGTAGTGTAGGGGCTG